ACCTTCTTAACAGTAATTATATCCCTAGTTTCACGGTCCTCTAATTTTCTCTTTTTATGCAAGACTTCCAACAAGGGTGTATTAGTGTGGATATTTTCCAATACCTCCACATATATTTTAGACTGGGAGTCTATCTGAGCTTCCATAAAACTTTTTGAGAAAGGAAACAGTGGGGTATAGGGATGAGGCATAACAATAGGTTCTCCCTTCTCTACCTCTTCTACAACCTCCCTTTTAGATGGTGTTGGAGGGTTTTTCTCAATCTTTACTCTTTTCTCATCTGAACTTTCCTCAATCACATCATCACTCTCCTTAGGATTTTCAACTTGTTTTTCACTACTGGTTGTTACAACATCCAATTTCTCCTTAGGGAAGGGTCTTAAAGGGTTTTGTTCAATCTAGAAGATTTGAGTCTCTAAGGCTATGTTGTGAGTCGCGAGCGACTCAACCACAATGGTCAGTTGCCTAAGGTTTTCACTGTTTTGAAGACTTTGTTTTCTAAACTCTTCATTCTGGACAGTTTGTGTCTCTACAAAGTGCTCTATCAGAGATTCTAACCTAGAGTGAATTAGCATCGCATTGGAATCCTCCATTGATGTTTCAAAGTTGAAATCATGTGATTCTTATGATTCTTCAAAGTGAGTTAGAGTCGCATTTTGTGTTTCCACAAAGCGCTTTGTCATCATTGATATTTCATTAAAATTTTCCATTAATATTTCGAGGTCGGATTTATAGGGTTCTTGCGTCTCCTCGAAATATTGGGTGTAGTGATTGTAGGGGAAATTTGGTTGAGGATAAGTTTGGTTGGAATTATAATATTCTTGCGATTCCTCAAAACATTGGGATTGGTGGTTGGAAAGGTAATTCGGGTGAGAATGAGTACGTGACGCGTTGAAATTCTCCAATAGTATTTCGAGGTCGGATTTATGGGATTCTTGTGATTCCTTGAAATACTCGGAGTGGGAGTTGTAGAAAATTTTTGGGTGATACATAGTAATTGGGACAAGATTTGTAGATGCAAAGGCTCGCTTCAGGAGTGAGTATTTGGCATACAAATCGAAAGAGGGTTTCTGTTGCCGAGTCTAAACGCGCAATAGAAGAATCATACTTAATTGACTAATCAGTCCCCGACAACGGCGCCAAAAACTTGATCGGGACTTTATGAGTCTATCGGGATACTAACTGCAAGTATACAGTTTAGTCGTTCTAGTTTTAAATGATTATCGAACCCACAGAGACTGAGGATCAATCGCATACGATCTAATGCTACAGTTTGTTTAACTAAGCGATGAATATTTGATTTTAGGGGGGAAACAGTTTAATTAAAAATAATAGTAATAGTTATACCGGTATGTGATAGTCGGACTTCGGGAATTCAGTGAATCGCTTGGCCTATAAAGTATTTCGGTAAAAACTAATTGTTTAAAAACCTGAGACATACACTCTCGTGTTCATGAAATAAGTTATGCTACTAAACCTAGTGGATGCACTTTAAATTTAATAACACTTTTTGAAAACAATTTGAGTTTAATTAATTTATTAAAACACTCTCGTGTATTTAAAAATTAATGTTTCGTTACCACTATCTGGGTCGAACCCCAGCTCTCGCATGCAGGTTCTTGCCTTAATTAATTTCCCACTCTCGTGGCAAAATCGTGTTAATTAACCTCTCACTCTCGTGACAAGGATAGTTAAATTAAGCATGGAAATTGGAAACCAGAAATTGTTTTATAAATATTTTTGGCCAAGGTATCACTGAATTCTTTCGGTTCTTAAGAGTCACATACCGATACGAATAATTTAGCCGGACATAATAGATTTAACAACAATGCAATTCAAAATATAATCCATAAAAATAATTGGCATAATACAAGAATGAATAAATATTAATTGCAATAAAAACCTGGAAATAACGTTGCTATGGTAATCTTGAAATGTTACAATATTCCTTGCAGCTTGATTGAAGTAAATAAATTGTGTTAATTGTTGAATGAAGAATTAACACCCTAAAACTAATGCTTGAAATAATGCTGGAAGTAGAAAGTACAGTACGTAGAAAATGCTCAAAAACAAGGAAATAAAAATAATTGCAAAAGTAGTAATTTTGTTCTGGGAGAATTCCTTCGACCCTTATCCCTTTGCACTACCACACATATATAGGAGAAAATATAGCAGTTGAAATAATCTTGGGAAAAGGCTTGAGTGGAGGAAATATAGGATGCATGGTTACTGAGTGGAGGAAATATTGGAGAAGAATTATGCCCTCACGTTGCCCACGTCTCCACTAATTCATAACGTTCATCTTTACGCGTGTGACGGTCGTCACATGTGGGTGACGGTCGTAATGCGCTTGAATAACGCATTACGCTCGTCAATGATGTGTGACGAGCGTTCTTTCTAGTTGGGGATGCGTTACGGTCGTCACAGGGTGTGACGGTCGTCACAGGTGCAAAATCTGAGATTTTGTTCTTTTCTCTTATGTTTCTTGTTTAGCTTTCTTCATGTTGTCCCTTTTTATTGTCTTGAGTTGACAAATGTTGTACTTGTGAAAAGACATAAAAACTTTGAATAATCGGGAGTTAGATGACTCAATGTATTAAAAAATCGGTAAAAAAGCATAGTAATTATATGATACGATTTCTCGTTATCAACCAATTGCCCTTGATGACTTTGCAATGACCCACGCCTGTCCCTTCACATCCAACGATATGGCATCCTACTAACTAATGGTAGGATAACACTATCTAAAGGAGGAGGAAAATACAAGAAAGACCCTGAGTAGGGTAGAACTCGTAATCGTTTGCTCACAAAGCTTTTCAAAACAAAAACATTTCACATAGACACTTTTCAAAATATTTGCAAACAACCGCTTTGTATGCATTCTCGAGGACGGATACGAGAATCATTACAAAGTTTCGCCTTACAATTAGCATCTTTTTTTCAAAATATTTTCAAATCACACACGCAAAGCAAATTTTTAAAGTGACCTAAGCAATTAAGAGCCCGCAGATAACTACAAATGAAAAGGGTGCTAACACCTTCCCTTTTCATAACCTACTCCCCAAACTCAAAATCTATCAAGGTCTTTCTTGTTCTTTTCACCCTTTCCTTATTGGATAATAGAAAAGTCAGTGGCAACTCTTGTTATCCGCAACATTTGCGCTAAAACACAAAACCAAATCAGTTCTCCCACCGTATTACAAAGTGTTTTGAGGAAATTAGTTTTGAAAAGAGTGTGAGTAAGTGAGGAAAAGGAAGAGGCGCTGACGCATATTTGAGACAATATCATATAGAGATACATCTATGTAAGTATGTAAAAAATGAATCTCTGAAATAATTTTGCGTGACATTAGGCCTTGTGCAATATATATACTGAAGTTGGGTGCGTCCGGAGATGCATTTACAAAATGTTTACGTAGATATATCTCTGATATATTATTTTCACTAACTTAGGGTCTTGTTCAACAATGTGTAAAATTTTGGTGTGTCCGGATATATATCTCTGAAATCTAAGGGCATAAATATATTTTCGCACGGTGCGCTAGAAAAGCATGGGGTGCATTAAAAAATTCCAAAAAGAAATTGCCCTCCTCCTCAAGTGCGAGGAATTAACATGCCACCCCCTAAAAGGTATGAAAAGACCAAATTACCCAGACCCAAATATTTTCCAAAAATTCCAAATTTCCGTGACCAACTGGATTTTTCCAATCTATGTGGCGATACCGAAAATTTCGAGGCAACTATTGGAAATCTAGTGAGACAGTAAGGAATTTCCAGTATTTTTGCGAAATATCTGGTATTTTGTATCGGTTTTTTCAAAAATCCTGGTATTTTCGTACCAGAATTTTTGAAATTTCCGATGTAAACATTTTCTCTTGGTATCGGGAAATTTGAAATTTCCGGTAGTTCAAATTTTTTTTTGAAAAATACCGAAAATTTAGAAATTTCGGGTAGTTCATATTTTCTAATTTTTTTCTTATTTTGCAGTGAAAACCAGGGACAAAGACAGTACAGTTGCGAACATGTATATTGATATAGCGAAAGCTCAGGCCGGGGCTGATGAGGGACAAACTTTCGAGCTACGGGCTGGTCGACGTCCTCCGACCGGTTAGGTTGTATTTCGCATCTGCATCATTCTTCAACTCGATTAGGTTGTATTTCACCATTCCATTATATCAATTCAATCCACTTGAAATTCGACCTTTATCACCCTTCTTTTATCGGAATCAGACAACAAATCATTCAACATTTCTTTCAAGGTGGCAAGGGTTTTAGAGCCATCTGGAATTTTGAATTCAACAGTAGGATTGCATTCATTGTAATACACTTCTTCATTAATCAAATACTCAAGAAGAGGCTTTTTTGAGTTGTCTTACCCTATAATATGAAACCCCTATTTATACAAATGGTGATGCATTATAGACCACACAAATGTGTCGGTGCAATCAAGACCCTTCAATTATGTCGAAAAAATATCGACCGTTGAAAAAACCTGAATACATAACCTATCCGTAATTTCAGTATAACTCAAATTTCCGGTATTGACACGGAAATTTGAAATTTCCGATTTACTGGAAATTTAAAATGCACCATCGAAAATTTACTCTTACCGGAAATTTGGTAGAGGTGTATCAGAAGTTTGCGCTGTACCAAAAATTTCATCCCTTCTACCAAAATTCCCGTCCAAAAATTTGTTTGTATCTCATCAAGGACAAAGCTGTAATAAATAAAATTAAGGGGGTGTCATGTTTAATTTAGGGGGTATCATATTAATTCCTCCTCACCTCAAGTTCAAAAGTCAACCCATTTAACATTAAGCCCATATTCCATCCCAAGCCCATTCGGACATGTAACACACACATGAGTTCAAATCACCGTACAACAATTTCTCGATTTGAAAATCAAAACCCAGCGCAGCATGGTTTCTTCCCCCAACTGCAACCACTCCCTGTAATCGATCTCTCTTCACCGAAACCCTAACAGAACCGAACCGAACCGGAATGGAGAACCGGACTCGGGTCCGGTGTCCGGAGAATGAAGAACTTGCGTCGTTCATGTGGAACAAGTGGAAAGACATGGCTGCACAACCGAAAGGTCTTTCCGAAAACATGGAAATGACACTTTCTAAAGCTCATTTCAATGTCTGTAACTCCAAAACCCCTATTCTAACGATTAAAGATTTTTCTCTTATTAAGTAAGTTTTCAATTTCTTCTACTTTTTGTCACTATATATATAATACATGTTATTAGTAATTAGTAGTAGAGTTTGTTTCAATGGGTTATAAATGTAGTTTTGATTATGATGTGATGTATTGGGTTTGTTACTTGAATTTATAGTAAAAAAGCTCCATTTTTATTTTAATTGGAGAATTGTCCTTGTTTTTATGTGAAAGTGGGTTGTTTGGATGCTTAGTGTTTGGTTATGTGTGTGTGTTATTGATGGGTTTGTGAAGGGGAGAGGGTAACGACTAAGGTTGTTTAACTTGGGTTTTGTGGTGTACTAATATTATGTTGTGATAGATTGGTTTGTGGTGTAACAGAGATGAGGATGTTGCGTTGAATGTGTGGGAAGAAGAATAAACGGGATAAGATGAGAAATGACAATATTAGAGAGTGTTGGGATATCATCTATAGTAGAAATGATGGTAGGGAATATGCTTAGGTGATTTGGACGTGTAGAGAGAAGACGTGTAGGTTCTGTATGTAGCAAATGAGAGTAGACCAGATGTAGGGAGAAGGCAAACAATTCGAGGAAGTGGAAGACCTAAAAATACTATAAGAGAAGTTATTAAGAAAGATTTTGAGATTAATGATTTGGATAGAAGCATGGTCCTTGATAGAATATTATGGCGAAAGTTGATCCATGTAGTCGATCCCACTTAGTGGGCATAAGGCTTAGTTATTGTTGTTGTTTTAACCGTAAGCGGACCCCACTTAGTGGGATGAAGCTTTGTTGTTGTTACTGTTGTATAGATTGGGTTTGTTATGACTTGAACTTATAGTAATGAACTCCACTTTTTTATTTAAAAATTGAGAATTATACAAATTGAGTGAAAAACGATGTTGGATGCTTAGTGATTGGTTTAAAATTGGGTTTTGTGGCGTTTCAATCTAATAATGCTGTATTTTTTTTTTTGGAATTGTGTGTAAGGGGTGTGGGGAAAATGATATTGAGGCTGATGCAGGGTTATTTTGGAACCGGTTCCGGAGGTTCTGAACCAGGGACCGGTTCTGGAGGTACTGAACCAGCTGACTTGACCAAAAAGGGTATGCCTCAATATGTTTAGTTTTTTTTATTAATGCCATATTCCATTGTCTTTACATGTATTTTGCTTTACATAGATTCTGTCCACATTTCTGTTAAATTGTTCCTTTTATTCTCCAATTTTATAGGAAATAAAACTAAAGGAACAAGGCGCTATATGCCTCAAAGGAACTCTGTGGCATATGCACTATTGATAACCCTTTACAGGTATATGGTCACATCACATGCACTACTGAGACATACTTTGTTTGTGTGCGTGTGCGTGTTAAATAGGTTTTTGAAGCTGTTGTGGACTTGTGATAAAACTTGTTATATTATAAGATTTAGCATATTTTTAATAGGGGAACTTCAAATGGGAATGAATTTATGCGTAAACAGGAGCTTATCGATGCTGCTGAAGCCAGTGGGTTATCTCGAGCACCAATTGCGTATGTTTGACATAGTTTCTTTTATTGTTCTGTGTTTAAATAAACTAGTGGCTAAGGAAATGTTTACAACTTTTGATTAATGAATGTTCTCAGGCCAGAAAAAGGGAAAGGAAAACCTGGACATTTTGGAAGTTCTCCACAGGAATGGTACAGTGGATGGAGCTGCATGAAGACATTGGTTTCTAAAGGATTAGTTGTAAAATCAAGTTGCCCAGCAAAGTATGATTTTCTATTTTGCATGTCTTCTCTCAGTGTGCTACTGGTTTTGCTTGTGAACCTCATCTTTTGATCTTTTATGCTATCTCATATATTATTATAAATAAAAGGCATTTGCTAAGGGAACCTCTTTGTTATGAATTTGAACTAATTTCTTGAATTGTCTATATACCTAAATTGAGGGTTCTCCCTGTTTGTAAAGATAAATTCTGTTTTGTCTTTAGGTATATGCTAACTCAAGAAGGTAAGGAAGCCGCATGTGACTGTCTTAAAAGATCTGGAATGGCGGAATCTTTGGACAAGTCGGCTTCTGTTGAAATTTCTATTCATATGGATAAACAAAACTCATTAGATATGGAAGTCAATGCTTATGATCTGGAATCAGAAGTGACATCGCCATTGAACCAGCAAAAGAAACCAATTAATGTTCCTTTTGATTCCCTTGAGAGGGTATGCTTCTTATTATTTAAACTACTCATCATATCTTTTGTTTCTTCATGTTCGTATTATATGTTCCTTCCCTTTAATTGCTCCTTTTCTGTTGAAAGCACTGAAATGATGCCTGATGCTGGATTATATTGTATAAATTTTGATTGATTGCTCTTTCTTTTGGATTCATTTTCATGAAATTACAATTGGATTGATGTTCATAATTTTAGTTTTTTGTAATAATGTAATTAACAAATTCTAATGTTTATGTGAAAATTGGAAAACATACACTATCATGCCAGCTTACTTGCAGATGATTTCCCATTTTATCGTTGCCCAGTAATTTTTTATTAAAAACTGTTGCCCAGTGATTGAAATATAATTTTTCTTGTATTGCAAATTCTTATGTAGTTTACAAATATGGGTTACTCCAAGGAGCAAGTTATCAGTGCTTTTGAGCATGAATCCAGTAGCCATCCAAATAAAGATGTCTCATCTCTGTGGCCGGCTGTTTTATGTCATCTTCGGGAGGAGCAAGTCTATGGTTCACAGCCAGAGCCTCAAATAATGACCAGTGCTAGTAATGTTGTAAATGGTATTTTTTCTTCATCCACGTTTCAGTGTTTCTTAATTTCACTGATGAATATTATATCTCAGTAAATCATTTCATAAACAACCAGGTCCTAGAGTCTCCGTTAGAAAAGAGAACAGAACTGTGAGTTCATCCTCTGGTGGGCATGTGGCAAACTTATGTTCTCCCGATATTCCAACTTTTCCCATGAGAGCTTGTTCATCCACTGTATGGTTTATTCCTTTTGTTAAATTGACCTTGAACATAATTTCTAATGTAAATATGGATTTTTAATGACTGTACTAGGAATATGGTGACTACTTCTGCTGATAATGATTTTAACACCAAGACTTGTTAAGATGCGTGATCACTGATAATTTATTAGTATACTTGATCAAATTTCATTTTCACGTTGAAAAATGTCGTATAATTACATGTCGCATTGATATTTACTGCATTCCTTCTGTGGTTGACACTGGGACAGCACATTCATTTTATTATGTCAATTGCGAAAAACTATTTAGGGTGGAAGGGAGGAGATCAGGATAAATTGTATTAAATAATAAGATCTAATCTACTTAATTTGATAATTAGGGTGGAAATGCAATTTGAACATAAATTTAGTGGGTATAATGCATTTGAGCCTAACTTTGTTTTCTATGTTCCTTTGTATTTATTTTAACTTGAACTTATATATGTTACTACAAATTTATAGCTGTAGGAGATATTTGTTTTAAAATTGCTACTTGTCCTGGTGAAAATTTAGGATCATACTACGCAAAAGCCAAACAAGGATGAGCTTGAATCAAAGATGAACATTTTAAGTATGCCGCCTTTGAGCTTGGGGGAAAGATTTGAGGATGCTTATGAAGTAGTTTTAATATTGGATGACCGGGAGCAGTTTGCTACACAGGGGTTAGTAAAATAAATTGAAAGACCCTTAGGGTTTGTGTATGATTTGTATCAATACCATGTGTTTTATTTAATATTCATTTTAGTAATTGTGACATGATTTATGTAGTTTATTTGTATTTACTGTAATTTGGTACATTCTGTGAACTGTTGCTAATTAACTAATCCAATGAACTATATTGTCCGTTGTTGATATTTTCAGATCGCGATCTAGAAAAATTATTGATAATATACGCAGCCACTTCAAAATCAAAATAGAGGTGAGTTTTGATTTCTATACCATCTACAAGTAGTTGATATTACTTTCCATAACAAGTGTATACTATTTACTGAATGTTGATGCTAATATGTGCCATGAAAAATGACAATTGTATCACGTGGTCACTAGGTAAGATTATCAACATGTACATGTTTTGTATATTTATTGCTGCATTTTTGAAGAAAGCCATTGTCAATATAGGTCCTGTTAGTGATAAAGAATATTAACCCATTACCTCTTAGAGTTGGAGTCTTTCAATAAAAGCTTTTTCTGAAAACTTATTGATTGTGAAGCAAATAAGATGTGTTATTAATCGTATATGGATTTGAATTAAACTATTTATATATCTTGGATATGCTCTTTTCTGTTTAGAAAATGGTTGAAATCATCAAGAAATTGATTCATGTTTAGGTTCGGCGATTGCCCGTTGGAGATGGGATTTGGATAGCGCGCCACAAAAATCTTGGCAGTGAATATGTGTTGGATTTTATTGTTGAGAGGAAGAAAATTGATGATTTGCGTAGTTCAATTAGGGATAACCGCTACAAGGATCAGAAGCTAAGACTTGTGGTAATTATTCCTTCTAGGATAGTTAGAACTTTCTTTCGACTTTTTATGATGGTTTAAACAAGTTGATTATTTTAGTCTTATATGGTCGTTTGTAGAGGTGTGGGCTGAGGAAGCTGATATATCTCGTTGAAGGTGATCCAAATTCTTCTGAAGCCGCTGAAAGTATAAAAACAGCGTAAGCGCATTGATTCGTTAAATACACGTAGTCAAATTTCTGGTCAAGTTGAAGTATGCCAAATTTAAGGCTATTTATTCTGGTCTCGTGCAGCTGTTTTACAACAGAGGTTCTGGAGGGATTCGATGTACAGAGAACAACTAGCCTAGGTGATACCCTAAGGAAGTATGGTCATCTTACCCAAGCAATTTATCAATATTACAAGTCCGGATTTTTTGAAGACAATAATAAACGCTCTGCGATATGTCCTCCTTTTGATGAATTTATCAGAAGGTGTCAAGACCTCGAAAAAATGACAGTTAGTGATGTATTTGCCACCCAGCTTATGCAGGTACCTATAGTTTTAAAGTTAATTTCAAACTGTTTTTCTTGATTAATTGCTTTTGATTTAGACTTATTTTGAAACTCTCAAATGCAGGTTCCACAGGTTACCGAGGAGATTGCCTTGGCTGTGTTGGATTTGTATCCCACACTTTTGTCTCTTGCTCGCGCCTACTCACTACTTGTGAGTCCCTCATTCCTCTCTCCCAAGTATCTATCTAATAAACAAATTAGTTTATAAGAATCTTGGGAAATAGCACTAATATAATGTGACTGTAGTTTAGATTGTTATAAGATTCTTTATCATTAAACTAAGCCTATGTTTGGTACCGAAGTGAAACACAGCTACGGTGCATTTAATGTAGTTTTCACCGTAAGTTTGAAAAGCTAGTGAGTGCGTGGATTTTCACCGCTAGAGCCAAAGTTTCCACACTTAGGCTAACTCGTCCACTCCGATTGTTTGATTTTAATCAGGATGGGGATTCTTGCGCCCAAGAGCAGATGCTTCAAAGACAAAGTAATAATGTGATCAATGCAGCTGCTAGTAGGAATATTTTCCAGCTTGTTTGGGGAAGCTGACTTGTATTTCCTCCTCAAAGTTGAGTTTTTGGACGCGAATCCAACAAGCAGAAGTGAATACCAATTTTTTGTTAACTCGAGCAAGTTCTCTTTATTGTAAGTGTAGGTAAAATTATTATTAGTTTACGATATAAGAGAGTTTTAGTTTAGTGGTCATCTGTATATTTTGTAAAGGAAAATTCTGTACAACATGAGCTGAAGTATTTTTCGTATTAAGTAATAAGCAGTATCGATTACATGAATGAAATGATAGGATGGCATAATTGTCTTATCATACAAGCTTTGAGAATTAATATTTGGTGTCATGCATTAAGGCAATTCCTATATGTGCTTTTTGTGATTTCGTAGTTTGTCTATTTCGTTTTATTTTAATGGCAGTAAATTACTTATGATTTTTGTTAAATGTATATTTGGCTTATTTGCTTAGGTTTCTGAGAAGAAATCAGATTTTTTTTTTTAAATGAAAGGGGTATCAGGGTGTAGTGGAGTTATTAGAGGAAGCCAGGGTGAATGGTTATCCGGATTCTTGACGCCCTTTTGAGGACTGCCCATAGATCTTTAAGCACATTATAGAAGCTGGTGAAAAGGGGTTGGTAAGATATACACCTTATGATTGAAACCAAATGGTGCAAATTTACATCCAGTAAATAAATAAAAAATTGTTCAGTTACTAATCATCTCTTTGACAAAAGGTCATAGAATGCACTATAGAACACTAAGGACAGTCGACTTTTCTTTACCGGTGGAGTTAAGGACCAGAAGCTTTACGGTAAGACAGCTAACTCTTAAAGTTGTTTTAAGTAAAGTAATTAAATATGAGAAAACGTGTTCCGACAATCAATATTATATTTCTTAGATTTATGAATCTTGTTTTTAAGAGAATTGACTTTGGTATCTAAAAATGCAACATGTTGTCTGTTTAATATTAATGATTTTTTTAATATTAAAATTTTTATTTAATTTAAAAAAAAAAATTATAATCTTGTATAAAAATTCAGTTTTCCTCACGGGTGTAGCGTTTATTTTATTTGTCTTGCTATATGCACTAAATTCATTGCCCTTCATTGCATATTTGTGAAAAATACAATTAGCATGTGTTAAAAAATACAATTAGTGGTTGGGTTCCTTAAACCTATGATCTTGGATTTGAATCTTAAAAATATTAAGATGGAGACACCTAGATTGGAAAACACAAGGTTGGTTTTGGGATTTTGTTATTGAATAAAATAGGTGTTTTATTTCTTTAAGTGATTTTTAACTTCTAACAACTAGGATTTATATATCCTACATTATCATAGTCATACAGTGACTATCAGATGAAAATCCTTCTAGTTCCAATTTACACCTGATTTTTTCAAAGTCAACTTATATTAATCTAATGATCTTTGACTATGTGTTTATTCTAGAATTTGGTAAATAACTGCTGATTTTCTAAATCCTTTAACAGATTCAGTTACTCAGATTGATTTCAGGACTATTGTGTTCAATTATTTAGAAAACATGTTTTGATGATAATCTCTTTAAATAAAAGGAATCACTTCGCATGTCGAAGTGAATCTTCTTTAGACTGAGAATTGTAAAGAACGTAAATAACGTAAAGAAATTTCATTGAATGTAAATGACATTGAATATAAAATATGGTGCATCATACGTACATTCTCATTAACTCTTTTCTCGAACACTGATACTTTGAGTATTTTAAGTATTTTGTACAAAGTTGTGAACACACTAAATCAAAACACAAAAGCTATAATTTGTAGAACTTCGACCCTAACGGTCTCCTAACAAACTAATGCCACGTTTCCGCTGGCATTCTTCGACAATCCAAGAGATTCCACGCGTCCTTCTGGATAAGAATGAATATTCGAATTCAAACTCTTCGCTATCCGTCTTGAGCGTCAAAACCAATAAAATCTGATAACGATCGAAGTATAAAATCTTAAACCATGTTTCGAATAATAACTTTATTTTGTAATTCGAATTATAAACTATCCATCAATCTCTTAACGAATTTCGAATTCGAATCTTCATGGCTTTTAACAAACAAAATAGCCAAACAATTAATTCTTTAAGTATATTCAGACCATTGACTCAGCTCAATTTCTCCTTAGTCAAAATTTCCAGCCAACAAATTGCCCCCAAGAAATATTCATTTCCAAACCAGAAATGCATATTTTTTTGTAATCTCCTCAAATTTCAACCTTATGAACAACTCATCAACCGCTTCAACTATTATGACATCATTATCATAATGACTTTTGATTCCCAAACGTCTAATCGCAGTATGGGTATCTATAAATCTCATCATTAGCCATGATGAATAGTCTTAACTTTGGAACTTACAAAAATCGTTCATCAAGCAAAGGACCACCTTACGTGTGTCCCACTACTCAAAAAGTTCAACTTCCCTCTTTCCATAAAAAATGGTTCAATTCCCTTCATATAAATTAACACCATTCATTTTATTTTTCTCTTTTCTGTACTTTTTCAAATCAAAAGCTCTCCCTTCTTCTTCCAAAGTTCAACAAACTTTTCTGCAACTTCTTCAAAACACAATCAATGGCGTCCCAGAAGAAATCAAAGTTTGGAAAGAGTAAACTAAACAAAGACGATGCTGCTTCCAACCCTTTAATCAAAGTAGAAACACCCATCATGATTGGAAATCAAGAATTTGTTCCCACACCATCTCTGAGGAATGAACAAATTTCCATCTACGCTTCCCAGGTAATGATTCTCTTCACTCTTGCTTATGATACCTTAGGATATATGGGTCCTATACCCAACGTATCAGATATATCAAAACTCAAGAGATTTTTTCCTGCTTACCACTTGACTAGACCCATAGCTAGTAAACCTAGGGTTAGTAAGAAATTTGCTGAAAACACTAGGGTAGAAGATGAAACAATTCCCCGGGAAAATACTCCTAAAGAGGGTAAAGAACAAAATAAACCTTCCTTTAAGCTAGACTTCATCACAGAAGTTCTGAGACCTTTTAGGTCAGGTCCATCGAAAGAGGACAAGAAGTACCTTGGATGGTTAGCTAGGATAGAGAAAGCGAAAGCGAAAACATGGAAAAATCTGGGAATCTTCGACTTGATTCATCTGTCGAAGTTTGGCCATGAATACTGTCAGCTAATGCTAACAACTTCCCTGTACTTATGAGATAGTACTTATAACACCTTTCACCTACCCTATGAAATGTTAACTCCAACGCTCTACGATGTCGCTGTAATCACGGGCCTTCGACCCACAGGAGAGACTTTCGACCCTACCTTGGATGCTAATGACTCCATCGACTTCACCAATGCTTCTCCCACTTACAACAATTACATTGATCACTACTCGGGATTGAAAAATGAAGTTAGTGATTAGGAACACATAGCTTCTCTTGATTTATGGCTTTCTCGATGTGTCTTCTGTTGTAAATCTCTGCAAGTCGCCAGAAGATTTTTGACCCTCGCCAACCAACTCCATGATGGTCAAGATGTTTGCTTGAGCGAACTAATTCTTGTTGTACTGTATGAGAGCCTTGGGGAGGCTTCCAAATAATTAAAAAACTTCGAACCAAAAACCAACATTTTACTGGCTGGTCCGTATTGGCTACTTCAGTTGTGGCTCAATGCCACCTTCGAACCTTACCTTTCGAGTACAAACCCAATTGATGAATCTGACCCTGAAATCTAGAACAGGACTGCCGAAGGGACTAGACTAGTTCGTTTGACCCCATATGATGGAGGGAAAAACTTGCAAGAGTGCTTCACTAGGCACCTGATGATGTTTGCAAAGAGGTACAAGTTTACCCCTTCAATGGCACCATTTTTTCAAAGAACCCATGGCCCATAATGGTTCACAAGACCTCTCACTGGCCTTTCGACTGAATAGCAAACATAATACCTCCAGATTTGGGAAGCTTTCCTGATCCCTAGACTTCTCGTTACCAGAATTATGCCCAAGAAAACTCAGAATATTTTGCTTACTTACCAACCCAATTTTGTCGCAAGACAACTTGGACTCTGCCAAATTCTTCCTGAACCATTGTACCACCACAAAAGTGACATCTGTCATAGAGGAATGAATTTCACAACTGTCAAAGCGAAGAAAATTATAAGCAAGTTCACATGCTTCCTCCACCTCAATCTTGTCCCATTCAAACCTTCGACTTTTTGTACTAAAGACTTCGAAAGCTGGTGGCAAGAACATTATGTCTCCAATATGTTTGGTGTCACCGACTTCAATAATCATATAACCAAAGCTTTTGCCTCTGTGCAGGACAAGACGAAGATAGGTACGCATCGACACATCAAGGAGATCCAGGCATTCCAAAAGTACTTTGAAACTGTCTACAAGCCTACTGATCTTGGTAAAACTATTCAAGATGCATCTTTAATTTTAAAGGAAAAGTTTACAGAAAAACTCCCACATTTGAGTATACCTTTGTGTGTCAAACCTGAGGATCGATATGACTTGGCTTTTCAATTAGAGCCTAAAAAATTCCCCAGATTGCCTATAGCTGACTTCGGTTTGGCTTGGTATCCACCTTATCCTAACTGGTTAAGCGTGAAGGGGGATTTCAAAGTCATGAAACAAGACACTCTAAAACTCGAAAAACGAGTGGTTGTGACCAAGCATACCTTGTACAATTTCAAAGGCTTCCTTCACTTGAATTTAAAACATGTCAGAATGGACACTACAGAAAGTGAAAGTGTGGAAACCAAGGGCTCCTTGGCTACTCCGAATACATTTCTCTCTTCTCGAAATAATTCTAACCATACATTTATTTTGCAGCTGTCGAAAGAAACACACCAAGATGGTGAAGCCTACCACATCTATTGGGTCTGCGAAAGCAACCCCACAACCTCAACCTTCGACAACCAATGGCTCTGATGAAGCTAAAGAAACACTAAAAGTAAACAAGGTAAATTTTGTTACTCTTTTACCTATTTTATCTTTTGAATTATGTAACTTACTTGTTTACATTTTACTTTGTTGCAGGATAGTGG